AGAGAGAGAGAGAGAGAGAGAGAGAGAGAGAGAGAGAGAGAGAGAGAGAGAAAGAGAGAGAGAGAGAGAGAGAGAGAGAGAGAGAGAGAGGACTATTGTCGAGCATATTTCTATTACTTTCTTGAAATTCGGACCAAGATTTAACCAGCGTTTGTGTGTTCAAATGGTAAAGTGTGTTCTTGGTTGCGGTCCAGCTAGCGGATGAGGACTGGCTGACGCCTAGCCTTCTAGTGTGATGGTAAGCAAGTACACCCCAACAGGAACAACTTCTACAGCAACAACAGTTACCACCACCATCACCACCATCATTTCCTCCTCCACTACTACCACCACCTCCAACAACAACAATAACAACATTTCCGTCATCATCGATGCACAATCGACCGCGACAGCAAAAGCAGTAGAGCTCATGCCACTCCCGGCTTGACGATGCGCGAGTCGAAGGGTAGTAATCACGAAAAGCAGATAACACTTGCTTAGTAAAAACGAAGAAACAAAGTGAGAAATAAAAAATAGTGATTAAGGATCATAATCCTAGGTAATTTTGCGCAAGATGCATCCAATATCCCCATTTCCCCCGTAAGTTTTCACGTCCAGTGTAAGAGAAAAGAACCGCTGTCGATTACTAAGCGGAGATACCTCTCGTCCAGTCTGTAGTATAATCTAGCAACTTGCTCGGCTTGAAGAAATAGATAGCGTTTGCCGTTACAGTAGTATCCGAAGCTTCGTTACAAATCCGGCATACACGCGAATAAATCATTCGTAATGGTCTGACAAAGTTTTTTTTTTAGCGAAACTGGCCAATTACGCATACTATGTATCGTCCAGCGATAATGAATATATGACAAACACGAGTCCGCACATGTTCAACGGAATCGTGGTTTATCACCATTTTAACAAAGCGCTTAAATTCCTTGATCCTCTCTACGGAAAAAAAAAACATGAGTGCCGACAGGATACAGACTCGTTACACGAATTCATTATTTTTGTAGTTTGGGCTTAACAGCGAAAATAATAACTTAAAGACATAATGTCGAAGGAGGCTCGCGGCCAAATGCGATGGCCGGTGTGAGCGACTACGGTGTATAAATGATAAATACAAAGGTTAATCGAAGCATACTCTCGTGAAGATATATAAATATATAAATATATATATATATAAATGAAAGAATATATACATAAAAGAATAAAGATGATTATAAACAAAATTCAACAATTAGCTAGTTAGATAGGCATGTTATATTAAAAGTTATTCGAGGTCGATTCGATATTCGGCGGCAAGGAGGAAGTAGATCTTGCGTATATTTAATAGCGCAGCATTTTTACGGGGATGAAATAATCTCGGCCCCTTTGTACAACTCGCCCGTCTCAAAAACCACGAGAATTACTACTGGACCCACGTATTTTATCCCATTTGCCATTGCGAAAAGATTTTGTATCTCGAACAAATATATTTATTTATCGGATTCGTGGCCAAACGATAATTCACACATTGAGATCTTTACAGGCAATTTAGCATCCGTATTTTATCATTCGAATCTGTCTTTCGGACGTGACGTTTAGACCTGTTGGATACTTTTATAAAGCAGACACGCCGTGACAGGCATCTCGACGAATTTAGCACATTCCAAACTGAGAAAGTGGCGAAACGCGCAAAACACCGATCAGATCACCGTGGTTTTTAAGTAAATGTTAGATTTTTATATAAGATGACTATGTAGAATCGAAAGAAATCGAGATTTTGACGTTTAAGCAATAAAACGTTAAGCTTAGGAAGAAAAAAAGCAGCCATCAATCCCTCCGTCTCTTTATAAATCAATCTCGCTGCGTAAACGAGAGAATACACGAATTCTTAACAACGAAAAAACAAATACTAATAGAATGGACAAGATAGATAGAGAGGAGACGGTGCGTGCACGCGTGCATTTTTAATTGTTCGGTGAGTAGTAAAATGATCACAATTTCCTCGTTGTCCCGAATTTCGACTTGACCAAATTGATACAAAAGAAAGAGGAGAGACCGAAACTCGTATAAATCGTGAACATGTAAGCAATTGCATGAGTGCAATCGTACATATGAGAGAGCGCTAGTGGGGGAGGGAAAGAAAGTGTGAAAGCGAAAAACGAGAAGAAAAAATGAGAGGGAGAGAAAGGGGGAGCGTGAGAAAAAAGCCGAGCGACGAATAAATTGCACAGCACAAGCAAGGGGCGAGGGAAAAGGGGTTAAATAATTCGTAGATAGACATATTGCACAAACAGCACGAAAGTTAGACTAGATGAGTTAAGTTTTTTGTCCACGCGTGCCCTGTCCGCGCGGCAGCCGTTTAGGATCTTGATCGTACACATAATCTCATCATCGACGTGCTCCTCTGCCATTAAAACTATCCGCTTGCTGGGAAAGAATCGGTCAGAAAAGGCGAAACGAAGAAACACGAATCAACGAGGTGATAGTACGAGCAGTTTCAATACTTGAAAAGATGGGAAGCGGCTGAAACTTATTGCAACCCGTTTCCGTTATCTCCGTGCTCGATCGTTTGTATCTCCATCGTCCTGTTTCTTGCTCCTCGTATCTACTGCCTCTTCTTACCCCTTCGGTTTTAAGTACCACAACTCATACTCGTCGTATCGATAATATCTTGTCCTCGCTTTTCCTTCGCAAAGCGTTTATATCGAAGGAATGAGTAGAACCGGAGCGAACTTATATAGAAACTAGTGCAATTAAACTTCAAGCTCTTAATCGTCAAAGAATCACAAAAAATAATTTTGATTCGACATTTCTATTTTGGAGATTTTAAATATCTTTTTTTTTTAATTATGTATTGTATAAAATTCTTACACTTAATCTTTTTCGCTGCGAGCCTAAACATATGTTTAAAACCGTAACAAAACCATCTATTTTGCATAAAATATATTTGAAATCTGATATTCGACATGAATCTTCAACATCATTATTCTCTATATGTATATTGAAAGAGACTGTTCAAAAGCATCCGCTCTTTGTAAGGTGTGATGATTCGTTTGATGTCTCTTTCAAATATCTCTCGTGTGACATATTCCGTGGATATGTATGGACATAATCCATAATTTTGCTCGGAGGAACAGATAAAGACAAGAAAAAAAGCGAGAGAAAGAGAGAGAAAGAGAGAGAGATTCCGTTACATTAAGAGGCAAACAGAGCACATCGATGATGATTGAAACAAAAACGAGATAGGACAAGCGATAGACGACTTTGGTATTAATCAAAAGATAGACGGATCGTGCTTTAAGCGAATCAAAAGCGTATTCAATGTTTCTCAATCAAAAAGATCAATGATCAAAGTACGGCACACACGAATGCTCGAAACGTAGCGAAGGAAGCGGAGAACGGCACAATCAAATCTGCCCAACATCGCATAAAGTTTAGATGTTTTGTGATGAAAGTAGAGAAAGAAAGGGTGAGAATGAGAAACAGAGAGAGAAAGAGAAGAGGGGGAGGAAGAGAGAGAGCGAGAGAGAGAGAGTGAATGAGAGAGAATATGTATGTGTATGTGTGTGTCTGTGTGTCTACCAACGATCCGTCGCGATTGTGTCAACCAGATAAAAGAGTGATTTTCCCGCGAGAGGAAAGCTCGACAATAAAAATCGCCACATTTCAGTGTTTTCAATCGCGATGAATGATTCTGATATAGTAATTTATACATAACCAAAATTAAGGGTAATAGTGTTGCCGCTATATTGGCTGCATTTTTGTCGCCTTGCTCTTGTTTCATTTGCAGCTTTACGAAGAAATGTCAAAGAGAATCGTTAAATCCGATTTCCATTTTGTACGTTTGAGCGAAGATTATTCAAAGATATATTTATGAAATTTATTTCTCTAATTTGTGTTGTTGTTAGTATACGTATATGTTCTTAGAAATATATTTATTCATACATACGTTCAATTATCTGCACATAATTTTCTTACTGAATGCATTTAGCTTATTCTAAATTTTATTATGTCTTTAGTTTAGTACAATATATGAAGTATCATGCACGATCGCACGTGATGTAAACGCGACCACGATTATTTCTTGCAGTTTTTGCATGTGAACATCAATTTTATAATCATCTTTCGATTTTTTTTATATTCATCTTTCGATTCTGTCGTAACCTGTACTTTGAAAGAAAATTTTGTCTCCTAATTGAACATTATTCTTTCATTATTTATCTTTGTAATGTAATGACGTTGTCTGACAAACTATTACGGGAATTAAGATGATTATAAAATTAAAAGTATCAGAGTGTAAATATATTTACGATAAAAACGCAGGTTACAATCGCGATTTGCAAAACTTTCATATTATTTAAAATTTTAGCTTAAAACGAAATCGTCATGCTATATATAACCGAATCTCGTTTTCTAATAGAAATTGGGTGACTAGCCTCGAGGACACGGCACGAGTATGCAAAGAGAAAGCAACAAAATTATAAATAAATATATATACATACATATAAATATAAAAATGCATATATATATTATATATATAAATATATATATTTGCGCGCAGCGGCGGCGAGGGCTGTTATTTTCAATCGTCGTGCGTAAAACAAAGCACTGTGCGTGAGAAAGTGAGAAAGAGTTAGCTTTTAAGAGACGACATAAAAAAGAACATATATAAGTAAAAAAAGGGAAATATCGTGTACATTATTAGTTAGGCAAAAGAAATAAAAATATAGGTTATTTTTGTGAAAGGTGGAACGAGCGAGGGGAGAGAGGGGGAACAGAGAAAGGTCGTGTGGCAAGAGAGGGACCCAATGGCAGACTGTAATACGAATTATGCAATAAGAGCCTGTTATCGCGTGCGTTTGCATCTGTCAATCAACTCCTGTACAGTAAACCGGGAAGCGTTTAATCGAAAAAAAGGACATTAATTGGATTTGACACACTCTACTTTTACGTTCCTTATGTTCCACCCGGTCGCTCCCCTTATCGAATTGCTCACTATGCACTACGACTCGATTCCACCTTCGACAGAGAAGAAGTGAGGGATCCCGCATTCTTTCAAAGAATCCGCGTGGATATCCGATCTTGTAAAAAGTATTTAAAAAAGAGGCGCCTTAAACACGAAGGCGCGTGTGTATAACTTGATGTAGTTCTGTATGTTGTCTAGGACATATACCGAGTGGAGCTAGCCGATTGAGCGAATCGTCGCGTTAAACGGGAAACCAAAATGTAGCATAAAGTGATAGATAGATAATTATTAATGTAATCTGACCTGAAGTAGGCAAAAAAAAACCAAAGGGACAATGGAGTCGCGGACGGAAACGACGGATGACGGGGAAGTGTGAAAAAAATAACGGGGGCGAAAGAAATTGTCAAAAGAGCGGGCAAGCTTGAACGGATGCCACACCACGTATAGGGCAAAACCTGGCAAAAGAGATGATCCGCTTGATGGTACCTAAGTCACGGACCCGTTCGGGAAAAGGGACACGCGCGCGCATACACGAGGTGTAAAAAGACATATACGCGTATGTAAATACACATAACACCAAATACACAAAATGCACACGGCATACGTGTAGAATATAGCGGCGAGAAACTTAAACAAAGAAGCTCTAGACGTAGTCTAGTCTAATCTAGCTTGTCGATCATTAGGTTAACGAGATAAAAGCGTTCATGAGGGAATAGTGCAATAACTAATATCCGCAAGTTATACTCAGCACTCTTATACGGCACAAATGGCAGGACACGTGTATATGCGTACACACCGTGAAACAGATATTGGCATGTATAAACAATATATACATGTATACACATACACAGGAAACGCGTGCTACGGCTGCTGCCTACATCCTTTGCCCGCGTCCTCAGTTCACGGTTCTCAGATTCCTATAATCTGGCAATTTGGCGTATACCCGGAGATAACGTGATTCACACCATTTCGAGATTTTTATTATCGCATTGCTCGAGCTTTGCCGAAGCGACCGCTCCTGGTTATCCAATCCTCATCGAATTACTACAGTACTCAAGTTACAACAAAATTCAATGCCTTTATTTCTTTTTCGCCCCTCCGATTCCTCCTGTCACGTAGCGTGTTTCCACTTCTTCTCTTAGTGTATCTCGTAACGGGCACTGTGTCTTCTTCATCCGTGCGTCTCCTCCCTCGATGCTCTCTTGCTTCCACGCGATTGTCCTGATGCCACCACACATATATATACATACATATATATATATATATTCCTCCGCCTGAACGGACTTATCTCGCGGAGACCTACCAAACGATAGTCGACAATCATTGAAGAAACATACATTTAGAAACTTGTACGTGTTCTTTTCACCGAGGGCTAGGTATTAATTATCGTCACCGACGTGTTTGCACAAGAGTCTCGTGCAGGCAATGGACAGAGGAAGTGGCATCTCGGTCTTGGGGAAAGTAAGAGAGCAAGGAGTATTAATTGCCTACGATGCTATCCTATATCGTGTTCGTAATGCTTTTGCCTCTCGCGAGTGTACCGCAAGACGTGATTTTGATATCGATCAACACGTGGGTATCGCGATGCACACACGAAACATATCATCGAGCCAATCAGCCGATCCTACCACTCCCAATTAGGAACTGCAATGAGGGATGTGGAATGCAATTGAGCGATTGACGCTTCAAGTTACTCAAACTGCAGTTTTGTGCTCACGCGAAAAACGCGTTTCTTCTTTTTTCCGCTCTCTTTTCGCGACGCTAGAACGCTTGGGAGAATGTAACTTGGCCGATCTCCGTAAAATTTATTATTGCACTGCTATACATTTGTTTCGATCATACAAATTGCGTGCGTAGCAATGACAATCGTTATAATTTACTTCGATGTAATCTGTGCGTGATATCAAGAATAGTATTCATGGGCTGTGTACTTAAATTAAGATATCGCTTTAGTTTTCCTTCATATGGTTACTGATCTTCGCCTTTTTCTGTGACTTTCGAATATCTACGAGTGACAAACTGATAGGTACAAGATAGTGAGATTATTGAAATTTTTAGCATTTCAACTGACATAGGCATATCAGATGTATGGTTTTTTTTTACTGGGACAATTTTGTTGATTGCTATAGAGGGTTAATTTCATATTGTAAGTAGCGTTTTTGTTTCTTGAACTAAATTTTAAATCGTAAATCGCGCAACCAAACGCGAATGTTTTCTTTCTAACCGAGAGGTGCATTTAACTTAACTATTTCTATTTAGATGCCCCTCGAGAGTCTAACATAATTCTTAGCGGGACGAGGGCAGCAGTCGAGCCAAATTGGGATACTTACCGATGCAAAGCACCGTGGAAACAGCTTAGTGTTAGAGCAAGAATGTTTAAGAAAAAAAAAGCACAGCGAAAGAAAACAAAAGTAGGAGCCGTAAGCGTAGATACCGAGCATAAAACATAAAGTAATGTATGTATATAATCATATATATTATACAAAAAAAGACTACAAAACAAGACATGCGCATCTATATATAATACAAATATGTATATTATATATACATATATGCATATATATATGTGTAAGATGATAACATTAGCCAACAGATAGAAGCTATAATGAGTATAAGCTTAAAACGAAGAGAGGAGGGGAGCGAACGAATGCGGATGCGCGGCATATGTAAATGCGCGCTCCGTGACATACTGTGTTAAATACCTTTAGCTGTAAGAGATAAGAGAACACATTGAGATGTGTGTAACTCGTAAGAGAAGATAGATGTGGCTAGCCTGCCGGACCCCCTGTGCCCCCAAATATAGATACACGTAATGTATGGAGTGATAGCGGAGAGAGAGAGAGAATGCGTGAAAGAGAGAGCGTGTATGTATGCGTGAGGGAAGAAATTAACAGGGCGAACATGCGAGGAGGAAGTGAAAGAATACGAATGTGTCGGATGGCATACAAGGAAGAGAGCGGGTGAGAAAGTGTGAAACAAGGAGAGGAATAAAAGCGAGGTGTAGGTATGCTTCAGCGGATAAAAAAAGCGTTAGGAGAGTAAAATTCCAAAAAGGAGAGTACGATAATTATGATCGCGTCCGATTCATACAGAGATATTACGACGTTCCTTCATTTTTCTTGTAGCTTTTCGTACGATTTGACGAAGTATATGCGTTGCAGGGCCCCCCGTAGTTATGGCCCTTTTCCCTATCCCGATGCGATACGCGGCATATCACTTACGACCGTACGCTAAGAAGTTAGGTGCCTTTATCCACTTCTTTATGTGTATGCATCTCGGTAAAGAGAGGGACAACGAGAAATTGAAAAAATAGCGGAGAACGCGGACGATCTGGGGGGGGGGGGGAGAGAGAGGAGGAGAGGTGGTACACGTCGGTGAAACATACACATATTGTATATCGCGGCATGAAATGGCACAGCGGAGCTCGAGGAAAGGGGCCGGGTACGACATCCATCCATCGTGCATCGTTCGGCATTCGGTGCTCAATATTACGAAAACAGCCACCGAAATGTGTCGGCACGACGAAAACAAAGACGGCAACATAGAGCGTCATAGTAACAAAAGCGACGGGAGCGATCAAGCGCTCGCGACTCTTAAGTATACTTCCGCGATTAAACGTACGGCCCGCGGGGTCCCATGGCAGCCTCGTTGCATATTTAAGTTTAAGGAGCTCGGGACGGCTCGTGAGAGAAAGAGAGAAAGCGAGTGAGAGAGCGTCACGTCGAGCGAGAGAGCCGTATAATGTATATGTAATTTGCAACGATGCGTGACGGCACACGCACAAGACAACAATACACGAATCACACGCATACACATGTAGGGAGAACGAGAGGAGCCCCGGAGTCCCGTGTACCGCGTGCGCGCGGGCGGTAGAGAACAGACGTGTACGTACGCAGGCACGGCGGGACATGAACACGTTCGCAGAAACAATTTTCACACAATACACACGCAACACTATCGCGAGACGCCCTGGGACGTGCGTAAAGAAAAAAGAAAAAAAACGTGTATGATATTATATATACATAACATAGCATATAAAAGTACATTATAAATAATGATGAATATAAATAAAAAAATATATATAAATACTATGGAAAAAAGTAAACAAAGTATAAATATGAAGGAAGTATATAAACGAAAAATATAGGATAAAACACGCGTAGGCTTAAGAATACAAGATATTATTATGATGATGTATGGTTGGTTTATAATGTAAAATATATTATAGAAAATGTATATCGTGTTACTTCAACTCCCAATGAACCCTGCGACGATCCTTCGAATAGAATATAATTGCTTGCTTAAATATTATTTAAGCTTCTCTTCGTGTATCTCTGACATATCATTTTTTTTATCGACTTTGGTCGTATACACGGATAAATATGTAATTATTTACCTTGGTATGCGAAAACAAGAAAATTGAATTTGCTAATAATGTTACGACTTTTCTCTCATCCATAATTTTTGCGCGGCTAGAATAATTTCGTAGCAATAATCTTTCCCATCTGTTTATATGATGAAAACAAAGAGCATTTAACTCTAAGTACAAACAGCGCGTAACAATTAAACGTTTGCATTCAGCAGTAATTAAACGTAAACATCGCTCGCATCGATAGTAGCCGCGAGATATAACGGCTGTATGCGCTTGTTCTGCCCGTTAAAAAAATAAGGGTTGGGCACCACAACGCGGGTAATTATACAAACGCGGCGAACACGAAAACGAAGAGAAGGAAATACGCGCACCGCACGAAACATTAATCGAGGAAAAAAAATGGAATTATAGTTTCAATTTTTAACAGTCACGTTTTAGCTCTAAAAAAAACTTATATTTATCTTATGACTTTTAAAATGATTTCCATGCTTTTAATTAACGAATCTGGCCTAAACTGACAGGAAAGTTATTCAAACCTTCCTAAGAGCGAAAGGCAGAAACATCGATAAGAATTGAAA